ACCTGAGGAAAGGCTGAGGGAACACTGTCCAGTATGGAGACGAGAAGGCTTCGGGAAACCTTGTAGGAGCATTTCAGTACCTGTCAGGCAGCTAAGAAAATAGAGCCACGCTCTTCATCGTGGTGCATGGTGGGAAAAGGAGAGGCAAGGGACAAAATTGGAAATAACGTTCAGGCAGGAGATGAGGACCATGAGGTCATAACCATGAGGTCACCTACACACTGGAAGAGGTTATCTTGGGAGGCTCTGCAACCCAGACCCTTGGAGGTTTCCAAGCCTCCTTTCCCCCTACATATGGTCTCCCAACATTGAACAAAATGCTCTTGCTCAGGAAAGAATGAAGCAAAAGCCTATGGCACCAACACGAGCTCTTCCTCCCCTGGGCGTTCTCTTCCCTGTGAGAGGGGTCTGCCACCAACCCCACACTTCTTTCTCCCTCAGCCTTTGCAGCTGCATGTGCCTGGCCTGCTCACTTGACTTTGCAACCATCACCTTTGTATTTAAGGCCCAACACATATCTTGTCACTCCCGCTGTAAGCTGGCACCCACCCCGCACCTGGAGCCCACCTGACCACAGGGGCAGGGAGAGGCCAGGCTCACTCTGCTTGCACTGGGCACATCTTTTTACTGGGAATGTCCCCAAGGAGCTCTCCTCACGTGTGTCAGGCTGTGGCCTGGCACGGGTGGCACAGGGACAAGGGCTGCTGGGGCAGGGCTGAAGTAGCTCAGCTGGGAGAGCGTTAGACTGAAGATCTAAAGGTCCCTGGTTCAACCATGGGTTTCAGCAATGCTTTTCTCCCTTAGGGTCTTGTAGAGCCCGTCTGCCTTTGTCCATCCTGCCCTGGCCCTCCTTGCTCCTTCCCCTCTTGCCAGAGCACTGCCCGTGCGCTCTAGCTGCACATCTACAGGTTAGAAGGAGCCTTCCTCTTGCACCACAATCCCTCAGCCTTCCCCTGGGCAGGACTCTCCACTCAGTGTGTCTTTGGGGTGTTCTCCAGCTGGATCTCCTTCCCTGCTCCACAGGGATCGGGATCTCTCCACTCAGGGGTCTCTGCAAAGACTCTGTCTCTCTCCTCATGGTCATTCTCACTGGTGCACAGACTGCTCCCCTCCTCACACACATCCTTCACCTCAACCTCAGTTCCCAGACCAGGGCACACGGCCCACAGGGAGGCCACCATCTCCCCAGTCCCAGGGAGAGGCACTTCTTGCAGCTGAGCAGCACAATTGCCCCATGTTTACCACCATGAAGACACCACCCCTGCGTGTGGTCAGGCTCTCAGCCTTGGAGTTAACAGCTGCCTGTGCTCAGCCACCCTGCCACGGAGACCCCAGCCAGGGCTGTCCCAGGGCACTGCTTTGCTGTCAGGACAGGCCTCAGCGCTGGAGGAGTGGGGAGGTCCCTGAGCCCACCCCACACCCGCAGCCCCAGGGAGATGGAAGCCTGCTGTCCACCTCACCTCCTGGGATGCTGGTGGGAGGAGTGGTGCAGGGCAAGGCCCAGTGACTAGAGGAGGGGTTATGGGATTTCTGCCCCTGTGTGCCCCCACCACACACCCTAGGATGTCATCAGAGCCTGGGGGCACCTCGCCCTGTTGCACTGCTCCTCCTTGGGAACAGGGAGCCCAAACTCAGAGAAATAAGACTGCTCTCCCATGGGCTTTCCACAGACGAGCTCTGCCCAGTGTGGGGCAGTGGTGCTGAGGGCTGGGGTCTCACTGCGACCCCCCTCAGGTAGATCATCAGGAGCTGCAGGAGCAGACACAGATCTGGGGCACAGTGGCAATCCTGCTTTGATGCAGAGAAGGGACCCATCTGGCAGGGCCATCCTGTTAGGTCCCAAAATGCATGAAACAGGTTCTTTCTGCTCAGTGGTGCTGCCCTCTCAAGCACACCCATGCCTGGGGCTTATTTCCTCAAGGAGGAAGAGGCAAACCTCTACCAGGTGCCAGATTATGGGAGAAATATTACACCTGTGGGAGGGCAGAGCTGGTGGGGCAGTCACACCGGACAGGCACTGGGCTCTTCTCCCCAGTTCCCACTTGGGGCACCTGGAGTGTGCAGATCAGTGTCCATACTGTCCAGAGGCCCCCACCATCCCGTGTTCAGAAGATAACACTCCCCTCTTCTTTACTTCACCTTTATACCTTATTTCTCTGAGATGCAGGGCTGGAGCTTATCCCAGTGGGAGTTCTCCAGGCTGTGTTTGCAATGCCCATGGATGTCACGCATCATTGTGGGGGTCTTGCCCTGGAAACACTGCTCTCCCATGGGGGCTGCCAGCAGGAAGGCTCTCGGGTGTGGGGCAGAGGGATGTGTGAACCTCGGCTCCCCCCAGGTGCCCCCAGGGTCAGCCCAGGGGTGGAGGAGCTCCCAGAAGGGAATGGGACAACACTGCAATAGGAGAGGATGTTGGCAACGTCTGCCTCCTCTCCACTTCTGCTCCAGGGCCAGATCCTGCTGTTTGCAGCACTATGGAGCTGCAGCTACTCCCCACAGGCAATCCTGCCACAGACACCCAACGCACCTTCCAGCCTGCAGCAGAGAAGCCCATTGGGGAAGAGCCGGTGGAGTGCGGAGACCCACCAGCGGGAACAGGGAGGGCAGTTGGGCAGTTTGGGCGCCAGGTCCTGCCCAGGTGCCAAACTCTTCTCCCAGCCTGGCTTCTGCACAAAGTTTCTGTGCCGTGGGTGCTGGGGCAGGTGAAACCCCAGCTGAGGGAGAGGGACCCTGGCTCAGCTCCCAGCAGCACCTGTTTTAGTGGAGGGACACAAAATCTCCACTGCCATGGAAATGTGCCCACATGAGCATCCTCCCAGATGGGCCCTTCTCCAGGCCAGGGGCTGGACCATGGCTTTTGGCTGCCTGCACGCGTCTTGTGGGGAAGCTTTCTCCATCCCCCTGGCCCTCTAACAGCGCTGAGGGAACAGTGCCCTCATCCTCGGTGCTCCAAGCCCTCACGTACCTGCCCACAAGTACTGCCCCGCACACAACCCAAACTGACATCCCTGGCAAGGCAGCAGGGGGGCAGGGGTGGGAGCTGCAGGGGAGCAGGAGGAGGGTTTCCCAGGGCTGCTCCAGGGTCTGCAAGGCAGGAGGAACAGCCCATGGAGACTGGGGTCCTGGCAGAGCATGAGGAGAGAGAATCCCAGCCACGTGTTTCCCAGGAGGTGGCTCTGCACCCTGTGCCAGGGCAGTGGGGAGCAGAGCTGCCTCCCAAGCATTGTGGGAGGTAATCCGTGGGCCATGATCCCACCTGGGGCTGGCTGGGGTTTTCAGGGACCTGCGGTCACCTTAGGGCTTGCTTCTGTGAGACAAAAGCCCAGGGCTCACCCTGACATGGCAGCTCTGTCGTGGCCTCTGCATGGTGGGATCGGTGTGGCCCAGGCAGGGCCTGGGGGAAAGAGCAGCTGGAACCCTTGGGGGAGGAAATGGGTGCTCCCACTGGGGTGCATCATGGGACCTATCAGAGAGTCACTTTGATTAGAAACTGCCTGTGGGCAGCAGGATGGATGTCTCTCTCACCAAGATTATTCCCCAGGGACCATGGCCTCACGCAGCCCCACAGGCTGACCCTGAGCCTGCTGTCCCTGAGACGTGTCCCTTCCTTGCCATGGTGTCTCTGTTCTCTGCTCCCCCTGAGCAGCCTCAGGAAGATGCCCTGACACCTGGTAGGGAAGCATCAGCTCTGGGTCAAAGCCCCCAGAGGCTTTTAATAAGCAAATATAAGAATGCACAGCATAAAAATGGGAATTAAAACGGAGGAAACTCCAGGCGGTTTCTGCTGCCCATGGCTCAAGGGAGACAGTCCCCTGGTGCACACGGCTCTCCCAGCTGCACAGACCTCTCCTCCCTCCCGGCTGCACCCAGCTGTGCAGCAGGGATGGGCTCTCCTGGCCTGGGGCTCAGGGACTGCTGTGCACCAAGCTCCCGTGTCACGGCCTTTGCGTCCTCACAGGGAAGTGCCACAGGCACCTCTTCAGCATCATCATAGCCCATGCTCCCTGGGGACAGGGACGAGGTGTCTCCTTCAGCTCCAGGGACGTCGGCATTTCTCCAGGAGCGCAGGCTGCCCCCTGCAAGCAGCAAGGTCGGACGTTTCAGTTCACTCCATGGGATCTGTACACCACCACCCTCCCTGCTCCTCACCACATTCAGCTCCTTCTCCCACCTCCAGGCCTTTCAAGGAAAACTCCCAGGCCAGGTTCCCCCTTCCCAGCAGGTTTGGGTGTCAGTAGGGTAGTGACTTGAGGGGCACCAGGGATGGCACCCTAGGAATAGGCGGCGCTCTCTTTCCCTCTCACCTCCAGGTGCAGCCCTGGGCTCTGCTCCCTCCTCTGGCATCCTGGGCATTTCCCACTCTCCCTGCCCAGGCACAGCATCCTCCCCCGCATCAGGAACCTCCCTGGCATCATCGTAGCCATCTGCTGGGTCACCTCCGGGCAGGACAAGGACGTCTGAAAGGAGAGGGGAGTTGGTGACAGTGAGAAGATCCGTCCTGCAGAGCAGAGGATGGGAGGATGTGCAGGGACACAGAGCGCAGACACTGGGCTTGGCAGAACCACAAGAGATGCCCATGTCCTCCCCTTCTCCGATGGTGACACTCAGGGACACCTCTGTCCACCCCATGTCTGCAGGGAGATCAACCCCTTCCTGCCTCCGTTACCTGGTGCTGATCCCAGACCTTTCTCCTCCTCACTGACCCCAGGGTGGGGCTGCAGCTGGGTCAGGGACTCCTCTGAATAGGAGCCTGGAGAGATGCACAGCGGGTGTTATGGAGCAAGCCCCACTGACGTGGTTCACGGTCAGCGCTGCTGGGGAAGGGGGACCCACAGAGCTGGGGCTGTGTGGGGGAGGTCTGGGAATTCACCCTGCTCCCCCGGGACAAACCCTGTCTCAAAGGAGCTTCCAGAGCTGGCCCAGGACAGCCCCTTCCCTCGCTCCTCGGGTGTCTCATGGGGTGCAGGGGCAGGAAGAGAGGGGCTGTCCAGCTGGGACAGTCAAAGCTGACTAGGAGAAAGCTTCTCTCCTGGGATCAGGACCTGGATGCTCTCCCCACAGCTCCCACAGACCCAGCGCCACAGGGACCACAGGCTGGGGGGCTTCAGGAGGTCAGCTCTCGGTTGGGGCCAGAGGAAAGGGTCCTGCAGATGTGCCTCCAGGGAAGACCCACACCCACCTGAGCGATCAAACTTGGCCCGTTTCTCCCACGCTGGGCTGTACCCGATCTCCTCGTACACAGCCTCGGGGAAGGGCTCCTGGGCTCTTCTGGAGCCTGTGGACAGAGACAGGGCTGGCACAGGGACAGGCAGAGGGGCAAAGGGACCCCACTGTGCTCCCCCAAAACGGTTCCATGTGCCACCTCAGGACTGGTCCAACAGCACAGCCCCGCTGCACTGTCCAGGCACAGCTGCCACATCCCCAGTGAGGGCAGCATTGGTGTGAAGATTATCTGGGGCAGCATCACCCTCACATCATCCCTTTGGAGACAGCGCTCATGCCCCTCTGGCCTGTGCACAATGTCCCCCTTGTCTCACCCCGGATATGTTCCCACATTTCCTCTCCACCTGGAGCTTGCCCCTACCTGCCCCTGTCCCGCCAGGGGGTGGGCAGGGCTGGGCAGGGGGACAGCCTGGGGGCCTGACACCACGGTGATGGACCCTGCTGCCCCACACTCCTCCTAGCACCTCTCTTGCCCCAGAGCCCCCTCCAGCACTACCGAGAGCACTGCCAGCCTTGGCCATCCCCTCTCTGCCATTTCTCTCCTCACCCCATGGCTAACTGCCCCCACCTCAGGGCTCTCTCCACCCCTTGCTGCTGGTGCCCCACAGCCAGGCACTCAACGGGGAAGCACATGAGGCAGGTAGCAGCACACAGTCTCACCCTCCCGCTCTGCCTGTGCCCCTTGCTGACACCCCCCGCAGCACCCCACAGCCCTACCAGGAGGTATCTCCCCCAGCACCTCTGGGCAAGGACCCACCTCTGCGTCCAGCCCTGGCGCTCAGCAGTTGTCCAGCCAGGAGGGCCAGGAGCAGGCAGACAAGGGTCCCCAGGATGATGCACATGATGACGGGCACTGAGACTCTCCCGCTGCTGCTCTGATGGCCTCGGGTGGGATCTGCATGGGAGACAACTTCGAAGGGGCAGCACCCAGGGGTGAGTGACAGGGAAGCTTCCACCCTCCTGGGTAAATTACAGCTCTCCCCAGCCCCCTGCCACCACTCCAGTATCTCCTCCAGGCAGTTTCACACCCCAGCTAGGAGCCCCTTCCATCCAGCTGTGGGTCACAGCCTGGCCCTGGGGGTACCCAGCCTCTGGGGAGGACAAGTTACCTGCTCGGGGTGGGGGTGTTGTCGTCCTGGGTGTAGCTGCAGAGGAGGAAAAGGAGAGCTGGGCTTAGACACTGGGTGTGTGGGTATCAGGAAACCTCCTCCCCAACACACCGTGTGTGTGTGTGTGTGTGTGTGTGTGTGTGTGTGTGTGTCTCTAGATGTCCCTGACACATCCCACCCAAATTGCCCCTCCTGTAGTGCCAGAAAGGGAGGCCGGGGCAGAGCCCAGCACCTCTGCTCTGGGAGGCAGGCAGGATGGCAGAGGCAGCCCAGGGGATAGCCCTGGGGCTGCAGGGCCCCACGGGCAGTGGCCAGAGCACGGCCAGTTACACCGAGGCTGCTCCCTGCCTGGCACCGGGCTCCTGCACTCCGCAGGAACGTTCTTTCTCTCGGGAGGTCGGGGTCCATGCCAGGACCGCATGGACAAAAGGCCTTCCCTAGCTCCCTGCCAATACCCGAGCAAGGGCTCCCAGCCCTGCCACTCACCTGAGCAGTGCACGGCAGCATCTTCCTTGTGCCGGCAAGCCCCGCTGTCCCCGGTCCGGGCCCAGCAATCCTGCAGGGACGGCTCCGTCCCCCGGCACTCCACCTGCTCCAGCCAGATGGGGCCCGTCCCCATCCCAAATGCAGCCTCATGCAGGGCAGACACCACAGGGCCACAGCCCAGCTGCCTGCACGCCACCTCGGCATCCTGCATGTCCCACGAGTCGTCGCACACCGTCCCCCAGGAGCCACGGTGCCAGACCTCCACTCTGCCCGAGCACCCGTCCTTGCCTCCCACGGCACGAATCTTCTCCCTGGCTGGAGAAGGGAAAGACCTCCCATGGCACCGGGAGAGCAGGCAGAGCCCTGCCAGACACAGAGGGGAGCTCCCTACCTGTGCAGCTCGTGGAGTTGGGGCACGGCGCCAGCGGAGTCGGATGCATTTCTGGCTGTCCCCCTGAAGAAGGAAACACTGTGGTGAAGGGGCTGGTTTGGGGGATCATGCAGAAGAGAGCGGGGCTGCGCTCTGCTCGGTCCTCCCTGCACCATCTGGGGCACAGCAGCAACTGAACCCCAGTCATCCATGGGACACATGCAGGACTGTGGGGGGACCCTGATTGCTCAGCCCCAGAAGGTCCCTGGCTCACAGAGCAGCAGTAGCTTGTCTGTGGAGGGGAGGCTCTTCTGAAAACCATCTGGTCTCTTCTGAGACCTCACCTGGAGATGCCTCTGCTTCCCCAGGCACTGCTGGCAACCTGGGTGGCAACTGCTGCTGGATGTGTGTGGCCGCGGTCACGTTTGTGCCACTGGCAGCACAAGGGTCTGGCATGGAAAGTAAAAGCCCCTCCAAGCTCTTTCTCTGTGTTTGGCCATGCCCCGTGGGGAGCAGGAGCTGGGGTGACACTGGTGCCTGGGTGCCTCAGAGTTACCATTGCAGGTGATGTTGATCTCCTCTTCCAGGTATTCACATGATTGTGGGTTCCAGGGTGTGGAGGGACACTGCCAGAAAGAGCTGTTTGTCTCCCCACACTGCACGCGATCCAGCCAGGCAGGGCCAGACACCCTGCCAGAGGGACAGGCGTATTTCCAGGGATCCTCCGTCCCCACAGCCCAGCTCCTTGCACGCCAGTGTCACCGTGTTGTCAGTGATGGAGTTAGAGCAAATGCTCCCCCATGTCCCATTGTAGAAAACCTGCAGGCGCCCGGAGCAGCCGTCGCTGTTCTCCAGCCTCAGGGCCACGAACTCTGGGAAGAAAAGGCCCCAAAGCGGGAACAGGCTGGTGTGGGGCTGTCGGAGCCAGGACACCTCTGTACCCGCCCAGAACCTCAGCCAGGCAGGGGCAAGGCCACCACATCCCCCTTGCACCCAGGGGCAGAGAGAAGTCCTGGATTTACAGCCATTCCTGCCCTTCCCGCTAACCCTCAGGGACGGCTGAGCTCCCCAGGGACCCACCGTGGGACTGAGGGTGTCCGTGCATGGGTGGGCCTCGGGCAGGAGCTCAGAGGCAGCCAGGGGCAGCCTTGGCCATGGCCGGCTCTCCCCGCGTCCTGCCCTCCCCGGGACCAGGCTCCCACCACAGCTCCTGAGGTGGCACAGACCTGAGCAGACGACTCCCGCATCCTCTTTGTGCCCGCAGTCGTGCTGCCCCCAGGGCCCAGCCGGGCAGTCCCAGAGAGCAGCTTCGGCCCCGGAGCAGTTCACACCATCCAGCCAGATCTGCCCGGAGCCTTCCCCGAAGCGAGCGGAGCCGGCTGCCTCCACTGCCTCTCCGCAGCCCAGCTGGTGGCAAACGACGGCGGCATCAGACAGGTCCCAGCCGTCGTCGCAGACAGTCCCCCAGATGCCCTGGGAGTAGATCTCCACTCTCCCCGCGCAGCGCCCGGCCCTGTTCACCAGCCGGACCCGCCGGCTCCCTGCAGCGGGTGGAAACCCCAGACGCTGTCAGGGCCTGCCCACCTGCACAGACCGTCACCTGGGCGCCTGGGCAGTGCCACTCACCCCAGCAAATGACTCCCACGTCCTCCGCAAGCCCTGCCGCCAGCGCACTGTCGGGCAGGGAGGTGTTGCAGAGGGTCAGCTTGGCCTCGTGCCCTGCACACTGGACCCCTCGCAGCCCCACGGGGCCTGTCCCTCGTTCAGGCTTTGGGGGGTTGTAGGCTGTCCCTGCCTCTCCGCACCGCAGCTGCCGGCACACCACGCTGGCCTCCTGCACGTCCCACTGCTCATCCAGGACTCTGCCCCACACCCCATCCTGGAAGATCTCCACTCGTCCGTCGCACCGGCTCCCTCCACCCACCAGCCGCAGGGATCCAAAGCCGGCTGGGCCTGGGGAGAGCAGAGATGCCACGGCCATCGGTGGCACCGGGAGCATGGCACCCTGCAGGGAGCAGGGCAAGGGGGGATTTTCAACCAAACGGGACAAGGTGGAGCCTCGTGCTGACGAGAAACAAGGGTAAAGCCTGGGCCCTCCCTGCAGCTCACAGCCAGGTCAGCTGCTGCTGGGGGCACCAGCTCCTGCCTGGGTGGGGGGATGAGGCTCTGCAGGGCTCTCTGTGGGGACGGGATGCGGTCGGCTGCAGCCAGAGGGATGGAGCAGAGCCCTGCAGCCCTGTCCTGGGCTCGCTGCACAGTACGAGGACAGAGGAGCCTGGGCCTGGCGGTGGTGCTGGGGCCTAAGCCACTGCCCTGGGGGCAGATGCCTGCCTCCGTTCAGTCCTCAGCTCTTCCAAAGTCGAGCGGTCAGTCTGAGCAGGGAAAGCCCTCCAGATGGCTCCTGGGGAAGCCAGGGTTTCCCCAAGGAGAAATTCAGCCTGATACGGCCATGGAACCCCTACTTTTAGTGGCTATGTTGCACACAAGTGACAAATGGAGTTCATGCAGCATTTTTCCAGCACTCACCTGAGCAAATGACAGCAGCAGCGTTCCCTTGGGAGCACGGCGAGGCCCCCAGGGTGGTCACTGGGCACTGTTGCAGGAGGGCTTCAGTCCCGTCACAGTGAAATGAGTCTCTCCAGACAGGGCCAGTCTCTCTCCCAAAATGTTCTCCTCCAGGAATGGATTCAGCAAACCCGCAGTTGAGTTGCTGACAGAGAACGTGGGCATCCGAGAGATCCCAGCGGGAGGCACAGAGGGTCCCCCAGGTCCCCAGCACCTGGACCTCCACCCTCCCCGCACACACTGTGCTGCCATTCACCAGTCTGATCCCTGTGTACTCTGGGGACAGAGGCAGAGAAAAGAGAGTGGATTGTTGCTCCTGTACCCTCAGTAGCTGGTGGAGAGGCCAGAGGGACAACATGACTTTGTTTTCCTTCTGCAGTATTGTCATGCTGCAAACAAACCCATCAACCCCTCCTGTCCTCACACCCGGCCCAGCACGGTCCCTGCTCTGTTCCCCAACCCCTACCACAGCCCCAGGTGTTCAACAGCCCACCCTGAGTCCTTACCTGTGCAGTTCACAACAGCGCTGTTTGCGTGGGTGCAGGGCTGGTCCCGGGGGGACCCCCTGGGGACAGGAGGCGAGGAGGGATTCATTCCCCACACACCGCAGCTCTCCATCCCACATGGGACCCACCCCTTCTCCAACGTGACTTCCTCCAGTGACAGGCAGGGCTGCGCCACACTGCAACTCCCTGCAGAGCACGTCAGCAGCCTTGGGACCAAAGTGGGAATCACAGACACTTTTCCACAGGTCCCCGTCACGGATCTCCACACGTCCTGAGCAGCGGTTCTTCCCTTCCACCAGACGGAAAAATCCTGGAAATAAATCAACTGGGAGTTCCCAGAGCCTTGTGGCATTCCCATGCCCACATCCCACACCACCTCCAAGCAAGCTGTGACCAGGATCACCTATGGAACATGCAGAAGAAGCTGTTGGGGAAGTGTTGGTGTCACAAACACATCCAGGCCCCCCTGCACCCCTTCTCTACACCATCAGAAGTTCCAAAGGTATGTGACTGTCAAAGCACCAGCACTGCTCAGACAAACTGCTGCTGCACAAGTTGCCCTGTGCCGACTGGCACGGTCCCCCCAGCACTGCAGTGGTGTGTGCAGTTTGGGTCCAAGGCTGTTCCTCTGCCCAGGGACAGCACTCATGCTCCCTGAAAAGCCAGTCTGATTCAGATGAGGTACTCATGCCTGTGAGGGGGAATGACCCACTGAGGACCAGCCACCTCATGCCATTCCTCCAAGCTTGTGATGTTCTGAGAAAGTCCCGCCCTGGCTTTCTCCAGCACAGGGCCCTCAGCACTGTTGGCTGGGAATGGGCAGACTGGGTGGAGACCAGTGGATACCAGTGGACACACTGGGGAAGGGACAGAGTGTTCATTTGCAGCCTAAGGACACTGGCTGAAGCAGGGGCTGAGACACTGTGGCAGGGTTATTTCACCCTGGGGTAGGCTCACTCGGGGCTTTCCCCAGGCACTGGGGTCACCAGTAATGACAGTCCCAGCTCAGCAGTGTGACTGGCCACAGTGAGCAGTGCTCCAGTGTCCGCTCGTTGCTCCCTGAGGGCACAGCCAGATCCTTTCACTAATCCCAGCCCCAGAGGTAGGGAATAGGTTGTCCCCTTACCTGAACACATCACTCCAGCATCACGAGATGACTCACAGTCATGTTCACCCCATCCTCTGTGTGTGCAGTCAGACAGGGCAGATTCGGTGCCATTACAGCCAACATCATCCATCCAAATGCGGCCAGATCCTGGCCCAAAGTGTCCTGTACAGAGGAGCTCCAACAGCAGACCCACAGTCCCAGCTGTTTACAAACCACTGCTGCATTCCTTCATGCTCCAGTAGTCACCACACACGGTCCCCCACTTGCCCTGTTGTTTCACCTCCACTCTCCCAGCACAGCGCCTGCCGCCGTCCGCCAGCCTCACCTCCACAGCACCTTCAAACACCAAGATGGGATGGGTCAGGGGATCACTGAGCCCCAGACTGTGGGTCTGGGGGAGCCCACTGCCAAGGTAGAGTCAGAGGCACCAGGGTGGGAGCCCACTCCCATCCAGGCTGTCCCCAGGGCAGTTCAGGGGTCCCTTCTATCCTCATGGGCTGTGCAAGGCTGGGGGTGCCCAGCTCCAGACCTGCTGGGTCATTCACCATCCCACCACACAAGGCACCTTTTCCCACCCCAATGGCCACCTGCCTCCTTCCCATGCCCACCCGCACACTGCCCAGCCCTGCACTGGGCACCTGCTCCTCCCCAGCACCCCCTGAACAGCCCTGTGTACCCAGGCCTGCAGCTTCCCATGCAACTGCCTGCCCCAGCACCAGCCAAACCCACCCCCATGCCCAGGGCTTTCCGTGTTCCCACTGAGACGATCCAGAGGATCCCCCCACCCACATCCTCTTCTCATCCCTGGTGTCAGCCCAGTCCCTGCACTGGGCCGGGTCCCCCAGGAAGGGTGTCTCTCTGCTGTAGATGCCCTGGTCCCCATCTCTCCGTGGGGTACAAACTGTCTTCATGGGGTCAGGGCTCCCCTGGAACAAGGGGGCAGTGAACAGGCACAAATCCCTTCGGGACACCCGAGACATTAGCAGTGTCCCGGGGAGGATCTCTGGGTGCTGCCATCACCATGCAAGGCCACCACCGACTCCAGAGGCACAGTGCGAGGGGACAGGGGGTCCCAAAAGGTACCCCAGGACAGGGTGTCTATGAATCCAGCCAGGCACAGGCTGCCCTAGACACTGAAACCCTGCAAAAGGAGATACTGTCTCCCACCCAGATGGGCCCAGGGAAGGGCACAGGGTCCACGGACTTGAGCACGTTGTGTCCATCATCTCTGTAGCACCTGCAAAGAATCCCCATTCCCAGACAGATCCCGATGACCACGCTGGTACCCGCTATTCCTGGGCTGTGGGACAAGGGAGCCAGGCACTTACCCCTGCACAGCTGTACCCAGAGGAGCAGCCCCAGCACCTGAGGGGACAGCAGTCCCTCTGTGCCCATCCTGAGCCTCCTGCCCTGCCAGCACATCCCTGCCGCGCCACACTCCTGTCACAGCTCCTGGGGACTCACGGGGACAAAGATGATGGGAGGGCAATATAGCTCTGCGGATGCCAGGCCAGCTACGGGAGGAGCCAATCAAAGCAGCAGCACCTTTTTAGACATTATCGGGAGTTATCTCCCCTCCGACACAGCCCAGCCCTCCAATGAACGTCTCCAGTGCCATGCATGACCATATATGAGGGATGGCTCTGCTGCAGGTGTCACATCACTGTGGTGGTGCGGCGTCACAGGACAGGGCTGGCTGTAGTGGGGGAAATGGGTTTTTCATGCCTTGAACCCTGCTGTGTGGGCCGGGAGCACTGAGCATCTCCTATACTCGGCACATCCAAGAGCCCAAGGTGCGAGTGCCCAGCCATCCCCATGCCACGGGAACCACGGGGCTGGGACGGCACCGGGGGTAGTGTCAGGAGGGGAAGGAAAGAGCCCCTGCCCCTGCTTCAGACCCCTCTGTGCTGGGAGCAGCAGCTGGGAAAGGGCCTCAGCCCAGGCCAGAGCCCCATCCCAGGAGCGCTGGCTCACCCGTCCCTCCCTGGAGAGCCCCATGGAAGGTCCCTTCAAACGAGCTGGGGCTGGGCCATGTCCCTGTCCTGGCAGCAGACAAGCAGCTCAGACGGATCCCTGACTCTCAGCATGTCACCGAGGGGCCGTTATTCCCCGCGGGGGGCTCGGGAGCTGCAGCCTGCAGGTGCACAAACCACAGCCCACGTGGCCTCACAGAGCTCCTCGTGCACTCCCCCCCACAAGCGCCCGGGCAGGAAGTCTGTGGTTTCCTCCTGGAGCCGAGCCCAGGCACATCCCCGCGGTGCCCCCGAGCCACCCCCACCCCGACTGCTCCAGCCAGGGCCGCAGGGGCTGCTCCTTCTGACACAGAAATTCACTCAACACTTAGAATCCAGTAGAACTGCTGAGCAGGTATTCTTTATTAGCAGCGCTGGGCAGCACTGGGGATCGCTCCACCACGAGTGCTCCCACAGACAGGTACAATCACAGAGAATATGTGCTGTGAGCTTGTACATATTCATGTGGATTTCTGAGAACTAATCTACATCTACATAAGATTTCCTAGAATTTATCTACATAGTCCGAGCATGTGTGATAAAATTAGGGTTAGGGTCTTTTCCCCCTCTGGTGGTCACTCATAGTCTTCCTCACAGTGTCCGGTGATTGAACTTTGGGATTCCTTTGCCCACATATGGTCATGCAGTTAGCTCATCCATTCTTTGGCCCTGGGATGCTCCAAGAAGGTCAGTTTAAACTAATTCCCAGGTGATTATCTTGACACTGGTGTCTTAGGCCCTTGTTATCAGGGGTACTCAGGAAACTTAACGAACCATCTCAAGGCCTACTTAAATTTTCTGAGGGAGACGTTGCATATTTCAAAACATCTTGATATTAATTCTGCCTAGCAGTTGACTAAACTATGTGAGTGAAAGGAAGAAAATAATATGAGTAGAACATGCTGACCAACTAGGATTCTACCATAAACAACTTCTTCGCTCTGAAAGAGGAGAAATAGTTTTGGCCTTCTCTCACTTCCTCCTCAACTTTTCAGTCCTTGATCTGGGCTCCATCTCCACCACTGTTCCCAAATCCGTGGTCAATTCCCTGCAGGACACCAGGGCCATCTCCTGCCAAGGGTGTGTGGCTCAGCTCTTTTTCTTTTTTATGTCAGCTGAGTATTCTCCTCACCATCATGGCCTACGACCGCTACGTTGCCATCTGCCAACCCCTGCACTACGGGACCCTCCTGGGCAGCAGAGCTTGTGTCCACATGGCAGCAGCTGCCTGGGGCGGTGGGTTTCTCTATGCTGTGCTGTACACAGCCAATACATTGTCACTACGGCTCCACCAAGGCAATGCTGTTGACCAGTTCTTCTGGGAAATTCCCCAAATCCTCAAGCTTGCCTGCTCAGACTCCTACCTCAGGGAAGTTCAGCTTATCGTGGTTAGTGTCTTTGTTGCATTTGGCTGCCTTGTTTTCATTGCACTGTGCTAGGCACAAAGCTTGAGGGCCGTGCTGAGGATCCCCTCTGAGCAGGGATGGCACAAAGCCTTCTCCACATCCCTCCCTCACCTGGCCATAATCTCCCTGGTTCTCAGCACTGCCATGTTTGCCTCCCTCAAGCCCCCCTCCATCTCCTCCCCAGCCCTGGTCCTGGTGCTGTCCGTTCTGTACTCGGTGGTGCCTCCTGCAGTGAACCCCCTCACCTACAGCATGAGGAACCAGCAGCTCAGGGATGCCCTATGGAAACTGCCCCAAGGGATGTAGTTTCACTGACAACAACCTGTCTCAAGTCACTTCACATTTCCCAGAGTTTATCTTAGGCCAGGAGTCTGCTATTTTCCCTGTAATAATCCTACATATAGATAATTTTCTGGACTTATACTACCTCTCTTGAGGATTTTTCCTGTTGTGTCTGACTCTTGACCTACACTGTGTCAGATGTGACGTGTCCAATAGCAGCTCTTGAATAAAATGGGATCTCCTGGGTGCAGTGCCTGAAGGCTGGGTTCTTCCTCCAAAGTGGCTGCCAATAAAATGTCTAAGGAATTGGTCTTTTAAAATTCTTTTCTCCTTACGTTCTCCCTGTATTTGGAGTTAAGCTCACAGTACCATTGGGTTCCACTGGACAAAAAGTTCTGCTTTTAAAGGCTCTCTTCTTGGTGTAAGATGGTGCATGAGCTCCCCACTACCTCCTCAGGCTGCTTCATATATGCCAGGACTCATGGCATATAGCTGTCTTTATGGAAAATAATTTGGTCAGGAGAGGAGTAGGGGTCACCACATGCCCTGGGGTGGGAATGAATGGACACACATAAAGTGAAACACCCTCGAAGTTGACAGTCCCCCAAAAGCAAAGCACTAAATCAAGGTATATGCAAGCAAGGACTCCACAGTGCCCTGGGGGTCAGTGTGAACGCAGTGGGCATGGGAAAGGGAGACTGGAGAGGTGCAGGAGCTGCCTGAGGAGGCCCAGGGCCAGGACTCTTGTGCTGTGCTGGGGAGCAGGGCTGGTGGGGGAAGGGAAGGGTGTAAATGCAGTCGAGGTTAGGGACAACCTACCAGATGAATGCAGCAGAGCTAGAGACTGACTGGCCTCTGTTTCCTCCTGCCCTTTTGGCCAGCATCAGCCCTGGTGCTTGTGGGAAGGCTGACCCCCCTGTCTGACCTCCAGGAGCTGCTGTGCCCTTCCGAGGAGCTGGAGCTGTGGTTGAGTGCCCAGAGTGCTGCAGCACCCTGTGGTGGGCTACTGCCCTGGGGCCAGGGCAGGTGGGGAGAGCTGGGCTGGGGCTGGGCTGGGCTGGAAAAGTCCTGGAAGAGGAAACACCAGTGATACCCAACTCTACCACCATTACTAATAAAAAGGAAACCAGTTTCCTACTGACACTCATGACGCACCAAGTCCAGTAGCTCTTGCCACAGCCGGTCTCTCAGCCAAGCCCCGTCTCAGACAGCTCCAGCTAGATCAGGTGCTCATGGGCTTGTCTTGACAAATACTGAAAATATCCATTGAGTGAGATCCCACCAACTGGCCTGGGTCCTTGCTGCAGAGTTTGGCTCTGAGGGATTTCTCAGAACCCCAGCTCTCTCAGCCACTCCTTGTCCATAATGTGCTCCAGGCCCCAACCATCCTTCTGGCCTCCGCAGGACTCGCTCCAGTCTGTCAGGATCTTTCTTGTGCTGGGGAACCCCGTACTGGGCACAGCAGTCCTGATGTGGTCCTGTGGTGTGTTAACTTTGACCAGCAGCCAGACAGCCACCCAGCTGCTCACTCACTCAGCCCACTCAACAGGACAAGAGGGAAAGCTCATGGATCGAGATGTGTGTGGGTCAAAGGAGAAACCAGAAACGATGACACTGTGGTAGGTGTTCAGTTTGGTTTGCCCCAGGCAGCAGCTAAGCACCCACAGAGTCATTTGCTCACTTCCCTCTGCCTCCCACCACCCCAGCAGGGACATGGGAGGGAATTGGAAGTGCAAAAGCAGGAAAACTCATGGGTCAAGACAAAGAGAGTTTAATAGGTGAAGCAATATCTGCGTGTGCAAGCAAAGCAAAATGGGGAGTTCATGCACAATGTCTCATCAGCAACAGATCTTTAGTCATTGCTAGGAAAGTACGGCTTGGGAAGACAAATGCCACGACTACAAAAATCTCCACTTTTTCCTCTTTCATTGAGTTTGGGTTTTTTTTGTTTTTTTGTTTTTTTTTTTTTTGGGGGGGGGTTTAGTTTGTTTTTGGTTTTGTTTTTATTATTATTATTTGTTGGTGGTTTTTGTTTGTTTTGTTTAGGTTTGTTTTTTTTCTTTGATTTTTTTTTCTTTTTTTTTTTTTTTTTTTTTTTCTGAGCCTGACATCATATGGAATGGAAAATCTCTTTGATCCTTTGGGGTCAGCTGTCCCAGCTGTGCCCCTGCCAACTTCTTGTGTACCCCCAGCCTTCTTGCTGCAGGGGCAGAGTGGGAAAAAGAGAAAGCCTTCATGCTCTGCAAGGGCTGTTCAGCAACATCCAAAACTCTGATGTGTTATCAGTGCTGGTTTAGTAACAAATCCAAAGCACATCACCCTATGGGCTGCTATGAAGAAAATCAACTCCATCCCAGCCATTTACAGGTCATACAGCCAGAGTGAGGAGTCAACAATGTCTTAATTGAATGATCGCAGGAAATCAGTGGATCACACAACCTGGCTCTTCTGGAGGACACAGTTTCCTTGGTATTCACTGCTCATGTGGGACAGCAGCATGCAAACCACCCAGGACGTTTCTTGTGGAGTTTGTGGAAATATTCTTAGCACAGATGGCAAATAGTCCTTTCAGTCTGCTCACCTGGACCTGGTATTCCCAAAAGAGCTGGTCAGGGATGTGAATACCATTGTCAGGGCAGTGACCATGAAATCCTGGTCTCCCAGATCCCCAGGGATGTGGGGAAGGAGAGGAGCAGAGCACAGGCCCTGGACTTCAGGGAAGGAGAACTTGGCCTCTCGAGGGCACTGCCAGGGGGGATCCCGTGGGCGCAGTGTCAGGGCACTGAGAGCATCCATAGGCCTCCATCGGCCCTGGCCAGCCCAACCTCGGGTCTGGGCCCACACCTCTGTCCCTGGGCCCAGGAGACCATTGAAGCCCAAGCCAGAGTTTCAACACCAGCTTGATCTACGCAGGAGGTGTACTGGTTTCCAGACCAGCCACGGACACAGCCTTGCCTGTCAATGAACCCTGTGGATTTGGGCTTTCAGTCTCACTTCCCAGCTTAGGTTCTTTACGGGGTGTACAATGAAATGACACTGTGGCCTCCAAGTGCCAGACCCCCACTGATTCACAGAGGCCTAGGGCCTTTCTGCTTCCTTTCTTCTCATCACTTGGTCAGGTTTGGGGAGGAGAAGAAGGAAAAGCAGGGCAGGTATCTGGGTACCAGTGACTGGATGTGGGGAGCAGAGCCTTCACAAGTGAAATGATCAAAAAGGTATGTTAGATCAAAACTTTCATTCTGAGCTCCTTTCTTCAGAGGCTTAAATCTTCAGCAGCGACATGGAAGCTCTGAGATCCCTCCATCTCCCTCTCTTTTAGTAATTAAGTTGATAGTACCCAAGTCAGACTTCTTTCTTTTTTACGGCCTAGAGCACCCCCTGGTCTGGAGATGTGCCAGGAATCTTACAGAAGAATCTTCTGCACAAGAAGGTGGATGTTCCCAGGAATCTCAGGAGGATGGCATACTGATAGCTGTGTTCAGGGAGCTGGTCAAATGTCTCATCTTCAGTTTCTGTAATGGTGGCTTAGATGCCTGGCTCATGTGTAAACTCTCTATGTGAATGTTGACATTTACCTGAGCTACCTGGTCTGACCTCAGAGCTGGCCCTGCTTTGAGCTGGGCATTGGACTCGAGGCTTCCTGAGCTCCCTTTTACCCTGAATTGTCCTATGACATAGAGGCCCTCACCTCCATCTTAGTTTCTTCTTGTAGGGCATGTTGCAAGGCACAGGCTCATGGAAGGATTGGTGGGGAAGAGACTTCTAGGGGTCTCTAGTCCAGCCTCCAGGCTGGCTGTGACTTTGTAGAGCTGAAACCCGAAGCGCTCCAAAGGTGGAGATCACAGCAATGTTCCTCCTAGTCCATTCTATTTCTCCTGAGGCTCAGTCTAGAGCTCCCAAAGGTAGTTTGTGACTGGTGCCCCTGTCATATCATTGGCCACTGCAGAAGAGAGCTTGGCTCCACCATCTCTGCAGGTAGCTGTTGGCTTTTATTAGGTTGCCCTGTTGTGGGAATAGAATGGAAAATTGCCGAGGAGGATTGTAAATATGCTCAAGTGACTTGCAGCTGAGGTGCCAAAAAACACATATATCACACTAATTGTGGTTTACCTCTGTGTGCTTGACAGGTAGAATGTCTGTGCTTAGATAACAGAGGCCTGTGAGAAACACAGAGGCACCTTATTGAACATCCTTGAGATTCCTGCCCTGCTGTGGGAAAGATCAAAGCACAATGGAAAAGTAGACCTGTGAAAATCCCAGATATATACAGGCAAAAGCAGTAGGCCAGAGATCTTTTCTTTTTTGATGTAACCATTCTCCCAATAGATACCATGTGGGGTCTAAAGAATTTTTCATGTCTATTTTCCTAATTTTTGTCAATTCATCCACTTTTTGGTTCCAGTTTGTGGCTGGTTTATTGTCACATGCATGTGTGGAGCGACGGAGGAATGACACGCCGAGACGGACTCAATGTGGGTGATAGAGCATCATATATCTTTATTGGACCAGGGTACATATATTTATACAGACAATGATAATTATTATGCCTACTAGTCACTAGCTGATTGGCTTAAGCTCTAAAGGTCGTATTCGCACGGTCCACCTACTTAGCTAACAGCACAAGCTTCTCATAACACTAAGTTTCTCATGCCACTATTTCTAATTCCTCTTAACTTGTTTTCAATACACAACGGTACCATAACACAAAGTTTCTCAGACCACCGTTACCATAACAAGAAGTTTCTGAGGCCACTATTTCTAATTCCTCTTAACTTGTTTTTGACACACCACGATACACAAGGCCGAAGTGTCCTTGACATTCTTCATGTATCAGCAGCTGCGAGCAGCTGCAGGCAAACCCTAG